GCGGCCGCCCCGGGGCCTGGGGCTCGCCGCCCGTTAACGCGAGCGCGTCTTCCCCGCGCGCAGGTTCCTCCACAGCCTGGGCGCCATCTTCTCCTTCATCTCCAAGGACGCGGTGGCCAAGGTGCAGATCATGGAGAGCTACTGCGGCGGCGAGCAGCGGGACAAGTACGTGTCGCTGCAGTCCATGGTGGAGTACGAGCTGGCCAACGGGCTGGTGGGCGTCCAGAAGCGGTCGGGGGGGGCCGACTCCGGCTGCCGCACCGTCCTGCGGCTCCACAGGGCCCTGCGCTGGCTGCAGCTCTTCCTGGAGGGGCTGAGAACCGGCCGGGAGGACTCCCGGACGTCTGTCATCTGCACGGACTCCTACAACGCTTCCCTGGCTACCTACCACCCCTGGGTCGTTCGCAAGGCTGCCACGGTGGCCTTCTGCGCGCTGCCACCCCGGAATGCCTTCCTGGAGATCATGAACGTGGGCACGCCCGAGGAAGCGGTCGCTATGCTGGGCGAGGCCTTACCCTACATCTGCGACGTCTACGGCATCACCCAGGAGCTCTTTGCCCAGCATAAGCTGCTTGACCTTCCCTGACAGGAGAGATGTTAAAGAGCCACAACACATCCCAGCAGAACCGGGATGAACGGGGGTGAAACACGAGCATTTCCACAGACGCACAAGCATCTGGTTCTCTGTCCACGGGCACTCTCCCTTTCCTTTTCCATTACGGAGCTGACAGGTTGGCAAAGCTATTCAGGATGCTTCACTTTATATAAGAGGAAAAAAAAAAGTACCAATTTTTTTTTAATATGTACATATATCTGCCTGTGTGTAGAGCTCTATGGCAAGAAACACTATTAATAGCTTTTTTTAATTCCTGGATTCACCTTCAACTCTCCAGCTAGTCTGGGAGGGTGAGATTAGTTTCTTTAAGCCAAACACTGCAGCTTCTGTGCATTTACACCGATAGTGAGGACCTCGTGTGACAGTAGAGCTTTCAGATGGGGTGTCTGAACACGTCACCTGTGAGCTCACTCAGCCACTTTTGTTTACAAGCTGCTCCCTTGAATAGATCAGGGAGGGGCTGCTCTCTGTTATCCTTTAACCTTGAAAATATAATCCCAGGTAATGTAGTTCTGAAAGGAAGCTCTTTTCTTTGCAGTCACAGATTCGTGATTGCTTCTGCTAATTCTGTGTCCCCTAGAATTAAAGCAGGAAATGGTGCTCTATGTCATTGCTCTAAGAGACTGTTTTTCCTTTGGATCCGTGCACATTAAATCAGGACCTGCCTTCTATGTAGCTTCCCCTGCCCGTTAATCTATGCTTTATGCGTCTTGGGATGTTTTTAGTATGTCCTGCACAATCCTTTATATCCAGCTAAGACTGCAGACTGTACCTGATCTATTTGTCGGCCATGCTTCTAAATTGTGTTCTCAAAATTTATATTTTTTTTTTTAAAGAATGTGTCAAATGCCTACAAAAATTACTTTTCTCACTGGGGAGCAATCCAAACTTGTACTGTAAGTCACTACTTTGTGAGGTTTATGGCTTCTGTTGCAAATTGCTGTATATATATACACACCAGAGTATCTTAAAATGCAGTTTACTTAGCTTTCTGAAAGCTGAAAAAGCACTATATTGTTAGTTCAGGATGATGTGAATATTTGGGGGAGGAGGGAGAATCCCACTGGCTGTACCGTGTTTTGATTGTATCAGAGGGGATTTATTTGGGCCTAATGTAACACTGCGTGATTCAGGAAATCACAGCTGCCTCACGGAAGTTAACTGGACATTAAATTATGTGAATAACACGCTTCTGAAGAGTATCCTTTATAGGAATGCTTTCTGGTTTTGTGGTGTTGGAAAGGTGACCTACAGTGTTACCTGTTCATGTCTTTTAACTAGCAGAGTCTTTCATTTACCTAGTGATCAGATGTGAAACCAGCTGTCAGGAGTAGCCCAGGTGCAGTTAGATGCTGTGTACTGAGCTCCTATTCTGGTTACTCGTATCTGTCAACACTATTTTTTTCCCTGAATATAGGAAAGGGAGTTTCCTCAAACATCTGAAATGCAGATACAGCTGCTGTGCTTTGAAACACGAACATCATTCCCTTTCTGCTAAGGCCACCTTAAAATTAAAACACAGTTCCATAGGATAAATCCATATATTAAATGTCACAGTTCCATGTCACAACCACAAAATACTGTGCCTCTCCTGCTGTCTGATACAGATAGAGACGGTATTTCATCTGTGTATTAAATGCTGTAAACGATGTCAAATAATAATGTGTGTCAAGTGAAAAAATGTTCTAGATCTCTCGAGGTTTAATGCACAAAGGGAAAGTTACTTTTTCTCCCATGTCACATTCATTCTCAACTATTCCTGCTATGAGATAAACATTAATTTTGAAGATTATTTCAGTTTTTGCCATTACATTTCCTCAGTAGGGAAAAAGCTCTGTTGTAAGTTTACAGCCAGTCAGTTTGTGCAGAGTGAGACAGAGCTTTCCCTCAGTCCACCTGCTCTCATTTAAACCTTTAGGTATCACCTCATGGTTATTTTACATTCCTGGTGTCCTGCTCCGTCTCCTGCTGCCCCACTGAGTGAAACTAAGGTCCTGCACTTGGCTTTGGGCAAGTTCAGAATCTGGCAGCATTCACTAATGGGGCCAAATTCAGAAGAATAAAACCTTCACCTACAGCAACTGGTGTAAGCCAAAGCTGCAACAGCCTGCAGATTCACTAGAGGGAGTTTGAATATTTTGCACAAAAGTCTGCCACATAAACTGTCTCCTAAGCCACAGTAAGCACACATGATTTCATGTCAAAGTACAGACAGGCATAAATAATTGCCTGTGTGTGACTTCTACACCAAACAGCTTTTTCTTCCCCTCGGCTCTGTGCAGTTGAATTTGTATTTACAGCTTTTTAAAGGAAGTTGAAGCTAACACTAAAATATTCCATCGAGGGGAAGGTATCCTCACAAGGATGCCAGTGTAACCATATCTGCTATAGAAATCTTTCCTGAAGTACTGCTATACTTGGCTTTCTACAGTGTTCCTGGCTTCTCTTCACACACGGAAAAATATTTTTGCCTTGTAGTACAAGTGGTATATCACTTTGGCAGTATAAACAGTTTTTATGATAGAGTATAAATATAAAAGCCACTTAAACGCAGTACACCGAACCTCCCCTTCAGAGCTACCCCCTTTTCCAAAATTCAAACGACAGAAAAAATGAAAACCATGACACAACCTAAATTACTATGCTGTGGAACTTGTACCTAAGCCGAAGTTTTTAAACTGAAGTTAACATCATAGCTCAGTGTGAGAAAAATACTGAGATCAGCCAGTAACAACTTCCTAGCTCACCAACCTTGCAATAGGGAGTGGCCTGCTCCAGGCAAGTTTTTGCAATTCAGTGAGGAAGATTTGGTTATCTCCACAGTCAGGTGACCTCTAATTAAAAAAAAAAATAAAAAAATACTGCTGTGTAAGTATCTTAACCATTACCCTTTAGTTCAGGCACCTCAACATATTATTCTGAAGTTCATTTAAAAATAAAGGCTATGACATTCAGTGCAGACTGCTTCGAAGTAGGGATCAGAGATGGTAGAGGAACCTCAGCAGCAGGAAGCAAGGCTGGTGAGCAAGTAAATAAATTTTTTCCTCCTCAGCCTCCATCTGTCTAACAGTATGTTGTGCTAATGGGCACCATTCAGCTTATTAGAGTCCACATTCTCCCTGGTGATGCTTTTAGATGAGCAGCCTGCACTGACTGAGATCGGCTCCCAGCGTTAGACGAGTCACAAATCCAGTTTGCGAAAACTGTAACCAGGGACAGTTTCTACAAACACATTCCATTACAGATGTTTCTGGTTTGGTTGGGCTGAGGAGGAGTTAATGCAAAGAGAGATGTGTCCAAATGAAGGTGCAGCACCTGAGTTTACCCCCTACCCTGCAGGAAGCCTGATTTCCAGAGCCCTGACGATGAATTAAGTCACTCTGCTCAAGGAAAGGCTACTCACTGAGTAAAGGAAACGAGGATTAGGCCAGCAGTTTACAAACAAATACACCCATAGGGTATTGCTGCGTATTTGACTATTGCCCACTAAGCATAGAATTACACATTTGATGCGTTTTGCTAAACAAATTTTCCCCAGTTATTTTCCCGTCTGAGCTCTGTTTAAGGAGACTGGATCCCCTGCCCCTGTTCCCTCTCCCACATTCGCTGGGGGATTTCTTTGAAACTTTTTTCCCAAATTGGACAAATAATGGTCCCTGACCTGCTGCTGTGCTTGAGCTTTGGTTATGCAGCAGCCCTCAAACCCACGTGCCTTTCTGCTCAGTTCAGGAGACCCGGTGATTATATCATAGGAGGCTTGTTCCCTTTTGGGATGGACACCATAAACCTGACGGCACGATCAGAGCCCACACTAGTGGTGTGTGAAAGGTAAGAGGACTATTAGCTTCATTAGTTCACTGAAGTGTGGTCACTCGGGCTGGGGAGAGAAAGGAAAAGAAAGTCCTGGTAGCAACTGATGGTCTCGCAGCCGAACGTTAACGGTGCAATGGAAACAGATTAGCTCTGAGGTGATGGAGTGCTGCTGTACTGATCCCGAAATGGAAAACCCGTTCGTGTTTTCTTCACGCCACTATGCAGTCAAACTTCAGATGCAACCAACCCCCCATTCCGATGAGAGCTTTTAGTGGCTTCCTTAGTGTTTGAATCAAACACTTAGACAAAGGTGTAAATGTTGCTTTTGCTTTGCAGATGACACATTTTGAGACGCTGCTGTTGCCTTTTATGAGGCACAAGAACACTCAGTGCTGTGCACAAGGCAAAGCAGGAAACAATCACCCGGCTCGTAGACTTGCCGGGGCGTGATCACTATAACCTACTCGGTCACACCAAGGTGGTTCACACCATCCCACTGCAAGCTACTTACAGCTCTTTGTGATGAGGATGAAAAGCCACGCTAGTGTCCTACCTGCTGCCGTGGCAGCAGCAAAGCACACAAAAGCACGGTCCAAAATCTTTGCAGGCCGTAAGGCAGGGAATACGCTCAAGTGCACTGAGCTATACAGCAGAGGAAAATCCCTGGAAGGATCTCTCTCCTGAATTAGCACAGACAGCACTTTGGGAACCACTGGTTTCATGGCTGAAGCACACAAAGCTAAGCAGGAGGTCATCTTGATCCTCACAGCAAAACATATAGGTCTCTCTATACCTCTGTTTCTTCTCCTGTGAGGCACAGAGGATGTATTTGCTGACAGACAAGGTTAATTAGATTTGAAAGGTGCTCAGAGCCTCTCAGTCCAAAATCTACAAAGGCCATGGGGACAGGGATGCTGTGCTGACATGTATATCTGGCTCGGCAACAGACAGGATGCTAAAACGTCAGAGAATGTGGAATAAACTGGCCACTGTAACAGCACTGATGGACCATGGAATTCCCCGTCTCCTCTCACCGCAGGTTGTTTGTAGATGGGCTGATATGGGCTCTTGGGATGAAGTTTGCTATCGATCAGATCAACAATTCCACTTCACTTCTCCCGGGAGTAAAGCTGGGCTATGACATCTACGACACCTGCTTTGAGCCACTGGTAGCCTTACAGACCAGCTTGCCATTTCTGACCCGCAACGGCACGTCGGGCATTGGAGTACTGTGCAACTACTCCGACTACCAGCCTCGTGTGACTGCTGTGATTGGACCACATAAGTCAGATCTCTGCCTGCTAACAGCCAAACTATTCAGCTTCTTCTTGATCCCACAGGTAAACTCTGGAGAAGCAGGGATTCTCCTTTTTGGTGGGGGGTTGGGACCAACAATGCTGTCTATGCTCTAGATCTTTGATCCAGGACTTTCAAAGTGCAGATTTCAGTCTTTCCTCTGCCACAGATTTCCTGAGTGATCTTGGGCAGGTCATTAACCTTCCCTCCTGGAACAAACTCCAGTCCCAGAGAGAAGAGGGATAACTCAGGCTGCTCTGTGGTCCACGTAAAATGGGAATAACAGAGCTCCCAGCGTAAACCAGGAGGATCCCATGAAAATCCGTCCGTAACTCTAGGTACTCAGTTACCACAACAGAGTGAGCTATAATGGTCAGGGAAATTTAGCCCTGAGCTAAGATATTACTGACTCTTGGGTGTGTCACCCTTTGCAGAAAAGTAGCTAATTCTAATTGTCATTAATGATAAGGGCTGGTGTTGTGATGATGGACATAAATGGCAGTGGAAGGAGGGAGCCATGTGGGACAGCGGTTTATGATTCTCTTGGTAAATGGAACCACGATGGACCTAATTTTTTAGATGAGTTCTTCCTTCCCACGATCCTGACCCAGCGTTTGTGAAAATCTAGTGCACTGGGACTAAACAAAGAAGGTGGAGAGCAATCTGGACTCTGAACACTTCCCTCAACTTTACGCTTTGTCCTGCTTTCTCTCTTACCCTCTACCTTGCAGGTCAGCTATAAAGCCAGCAGTGAGAAGCTCAGCAACACAGATTTGTACCCATCCTTCTACCGTACTGTTCCCAGTGATAAGAACTTGGTGGAAGCTGTGGCCCTGCTATTGAACAAGTTTGGATGGAACTGGATTGCCACCATCGCAAGCGATGATGAATACGGTCGAGGAGCCCAGGAGCTCTTCTTAAGCACAGCTGGAAATCACAGCATCTGCATTGCATTCGAGGGGCTAATTCCTACAGACCTTACAGATTCCAAAGCCAAAAACCAACTGGAAGATACCATTAAGTTAATTAACAAGACCAAAGTCAACATCATTGTCCTTTTTGCCTTTAGTCAGCCTGTCCAGGCCCTGCTGGAACACAGCATCAGCATGGGACTGAGCAAGAAAGTCTGGATTGGCACTGAAGCTTGGATGTTGTCCAACATAGCTGCCTCCATCCCAAATATTCAGAGCATCGGGACAGTCTTAGGCTTTATTATGAAAGCAGGCACAGTTCCTGGCTTCCAGAAATACGTTGCTGACCTCTTCACCTCCGTTCAGCAGGATAAATTTTGCCAGGAGTCTAGAGAATTCCACCACCCCATGAATTCTGACATGCTGGACACACACTGCAGAGAGTGTGACCTCATCTCGCTGCAAGACGTCTCGTCCATGCTGAGCCGCTCGCTCATACAACCCGTGTACGTCGCCGTCTACAGCGTGGCTCACGCTCTGCACAGAGCACTGGGCTGCACCCACCGGGCGTGTCCCAAAGCCTCCGTCAGGTCTTGGCAGGTGAGTAAAGCTCAGGGGCACAAACAGCAATTTTTCAGCCCATCTATGCATCAGAATTGCACACAGGCAGCCGGGGATGGGGGTTCCACTGCTCTGCACTCCTGGCGGTGATAAAACCTCGGCAATTCCTTCCTGTCCCAGCACGCTGCATCTTTTCTGCTGCTGTGTTCCCCTCTCTAGGGCTGTTCTGGCTCTACTAACTGGGCTTGCTTGGCACCACAGGTAGAGCAGTTGATAATACAGCCCTTAGTCACAATCTTAGCCCACAAATGGGACAACTGATTTCAGCCAGAAATTACTGCATTATCATCCTCCGCGCAAGAACGTCAACTGTACCAATATTTACTGTCCATTTTCTCCTCAGCTGCTGCACTTCATGAATACTTTCCCGTTCAAGGTGAATGGCCAAAGTTTCAGGTTTGATCAATCCCATGGCACAAACACTGGCTACAAGCTCATATTCTGGTCCTGGAATAACAGCACCCTTACGTATCTGCCTGTAGGCGACTATGAAGAGTCCTTGTCCATCAATAAGTCCCAGATTCAGTTTTACACTGCAGATCAAAAGGTAAAAACAGTGGGGAAAAGCATAAACAGTCACAAAATAAAGTTTTTTGCCACTTCACCGGGCCTGTTTGTAAGGAGCTGCGTGCTACTCCCACAAGGTTTACGTGGGACGCAGTTCTTACACCTCTGCAAACATGTAATCCATCTCCATTGTGCAAAAACTAGAAAAAGGTATTCCCAGGACTGTTTAAGATTCAGACACAGGTTTGATCCCAGCACAGCCCAGCCAATTTTTTCTAATTTGTTTAGCAATATGGTGCTTCTCCTGAAAGTGTTGGGCTGACTTTCGTTCTTCCTTTTGCCTAGGAGCCTACCTCAGAGTGCTTCAGGCACTGTAAACCAGGGCAGTTCAGGCGAATAAAAGGATTCCACCTCTGCTGCTATGACTGTACAGACTGTCCAGAAAACACCTTCTGGAGCTTTAAAGGTGAGAAATTCAATGGCTTTAACTGTCTGTATTATGTCTATCTGCTGGTTGAGGTCACACAGGTTCACAGAGCTGGCAACGATCAGATGTGAGCTCTTCCTCCACGAAGCACTGACAGTACAGAATATTTACCTCCTTTTTGTTCTGCTGTGCATTGCTCGGTCTTGCTCTACAGGTCTTCAGTGGGGGACCTTCCTCTGTTGATCCCAAAGAAAACGTGTAAGGACAATATGTATGTTTTATCTCAAAAGGTAGGAGAGAGGGGTGTCATGAAGTTCTGGGATCTTTTGGAAGCTGGTCATCCTTCCCTGGGGAAGGGAAACAGCCAAGAAATATGTGGATCCTTCTCAGGGGAGGGTGGAGAAGCAGAAGGAAAAAAAAAGAGATTGAACTATCACAAACTCTGGAGACCCAATACACAGAGGGAAGTAGGCAAAGCATCACCCACACCGGCAACTTCATTCCTGACTGCTGCATCCTCAAGGACTGCCCGCAGCAGGGTGGCCGCGCTCCAGTGCAGGGTGGCCCTCAGCTTCTCACGCCTCCTTTGCAGACAGCTCCGCCTGCACTCCCTGCCCGGAGCACCAGTGGGCCCCTGGGCGCAGCACACGGTGTTACGACCGGAGCGAGAGGTACCTCTTCTGGAACGAGCCGCTCGCCCTGGCCCTGCTGACACTGATGTCCATCACCCTATCCCTGATTTGTCTGGCAGCAGTGCTCTTTCTGAAGAACCTCGAGACTCCCCTCGTGCAGGCTTCTGGAGGTGAACTGAACCTCTTTGCCTTGCTCATGCTCACGCTGCTGTGTCTCAGCTGCTGTCTCTATATAGGGAAGCCCACTAACGACCTTTGTATGATCCAGCAGATAGTCTATGCCCTGTGCCTCAACGGGTGTTTCTCCACCTTCCTCATCAAGTCCCTTGAGATCACCCTCGTGACAGAGTTCCCCCGCTGTGCCCCCACCTTCTTGCGCTGGCTAACCCAGAGGAGGGCCTGGCTCCTCGTCGCCTTGTGCCTCCTCACCGAGTGCTTGCTCTGTTTCTGCTACCTTCGCTTGGGCCCCGACTATCTGGTGTCTGACTACAAGGCACTGCCCACTGAAATTCTGCTTGTGTGTAACACGGAGTCCTGGTTTGCCTTTGCCCTCATGCACGGCTACAACGGCTGCTTAGCCTTTGTCTGCCTCCTGTGCACGTTCATGGTCCAGACTGCCGGTAAGAAGTACAATATCGCCCGGGGGATCACATTCACCATCCTGATCTATTTCATCATCTGGATCTTCTTCATTGCCATCTTTGTCACGCTGAAGACAGTCCTCAGGTCCGTTACTCAGATTGGCACCATTCTGACAACCTGTCTGGGTATCTTGGGCATCTACTATATCCCTAAATGCTACATCATCTTGCTTAGACCTGATATGAACACAGTGGATTATTTCTAGAATTCTATCAAAGAGGAACCTGAGGAAGACTCAATAAACAGACAATAAACCAGACCCCTTGTCACCAGCTCCTCAGTAGCAGTTGGCTCTATTTTAATGAGATAATTCTGTTTATGATGACTATAAGCTATGGTCCCAGACACAAGCACCATATAAAACACAGCCTTATCCAGCAGGCAGGACACTAAGAGCAGAATTTTTAAGCTGCAAAAGCACAGGGCTCTACTCAATGAGCTACAGCAAAATGCCCCAGCAGAGTAGTATCCATCCTCTCCGTACACAAACTGAAGTACAAGGAAACAACTATGCTCAGATCAAGAAGGGCTGACTATTTTGACTCTTAAATAAAAGACTGAAAGGCTAAGCAAAGCTTCTGGTGACAAACATTGCTCTTTTCGTTCATGTCATCAGTACCCCGAGATAAGAACCGGCCCTTACACATCACTGAGTGTTGAAACAAAATACAAACAAGAACTTGCACTTAAGAGATTTCAGTTTCATGCCAAGTGAGATTAATTGCAGTTATTCAAGCCAGAATCTCACTAAAGGTAAAACTGAGATTTCTTTTTCAGATAAATGATACTGTAAAAGTTTAGATATGCTAATGGAAATATTTATCAGATTTCACACTTCATTTACAAGACGAATTTTAGTTTTGGTACCATTGTCATGAAACAAAAAGCTGAGTTTTCCAAAGCCAATGTTTAAATTTCTGTTAAGTAATGTGTTCTACAGAAAACATTTTTTTTTTTAATTTTCTTGACTACTTTGTCACAGAATCTGTAGAAACCATTCTGATATGTAAAGGTAGCTGTATGCACGATATAAAGAGTATTATTACCCATGCAAATTTTGACTCATTTGTGTTTCATGAACATGTGCTTGCAGAAACATGGAAATAAGGACAAGTCACACGGAAATGAATAGCATGCAAATCACACTATTCAAAGTGATAGCAAAACCACCCAAAGATCACCAGAGAGAAACATTTCTTACCTGGTGGGACATTTTGCGTAGGGGACGAAATAAATCAAAAGCTTTGAGGAGTAAGAAATCTCTCTAATCTGTATTCATACGTGTTTCATGGCCCCTGTTCACTGAACAGCAGGAGAATCCTTAATGATTTGCCCCATTAAGCACCTGATTTACAAGAACAAGTAGTAGTGATAGTTTCAGAAGGGACAACAAAGAAATACACAAGGAAAACATAGACTAGCTCCCTCAAAAAAGGTGCTTGCTAACTAGAACCAGTTAATATCTAAGTTTATGTTATGAAGGTGTAAGTTACTGAACAAATGATCCTCTGAAGTGCTGTGCAGAGGTTCAACAAAGTGTATAGGTCTAACCTGTAAATGTTACAAGCTCTTTGCCACTAGGCAGTATCGTATATCAAGAATTTCACAAACCTGTTTTTGTGTATGCAAAAATCACCTCTAATTGTCAGTCTACCTGCTTGTATCAGACTCCCCTCACTGCCTGTTAACCACAGACGCACCCTCTAGACAGGACTTTGTGCACAGATTAATTACTAGAATCAAACCTGAACAAAGCCAAAAGAAAACACCCCTTATTTCCATTACTCTTCTCTGTAACTACCTTTACATTTCCTAGCAATGGAATTGGCCCTTCCATACAACACTGGACGCGTCTCTCTTCTTGAAAGCGTCACAAATCCATTAGGGCTGCTTAAAGCCAGGGAAGAGATTTGGGATTCTAACCCACAGCAGGTCCTTTCTGCAGTGCAGCTGTGTCTGACAGGGCCTGGCCTGGCTGCGTGACAACAAAGCACAAAGAAATTGTGTCAGTGTAGAAGTGGCAAACCAAGAAAGGTAAAAAGAGAAAAATTTCCACATTATTTCACATTACCACCAAACAGTAGCAAGTCACATCACAAAGATCATTTCCCTACCCACTCTGACAAGCAACTATAATGCTCTACACTTCAGGTCTTTTCATCTATCCACTATGTGGTTGTGTTAACTCATCCATTCAGCTCAAGAATTTGCAAATTAATCTAAACCAGCGAGTAGTTTTATTCTTAAAAAAAGAGCTTCTTGGTGCACTGCAAAGCAAGCTGTCCTAAATTTCTGTGGCTACCTGTGTATAAAATTCTCCTAGCATACTTGAGGAAAAATGTGAAACATCTGACAAAAGTACTCCTCAGCGTGATTAAAGATAGCAAAAATCTGACCTGAAGACTGGAAGTCCTTGTTTCTGGATACTGCAGCAAGTCTCCATGAGCATACTGTTGTACCTGAGAATCTCAGTACTCACTTTATCACTGTGATTTCAGAGCAGAGAATCATCAAGTAACTTTTAACCATCACTCCAGAAATAGAGAAGGAAAAAAAACAGATTTACCTCTGTTGCTTCTCTTTCTGGCAGCAGAGCTAGAGCCATGATAGACTTGATTTTTCTTTTCCTTTAGGGCAAAAGGGGTGGGGAAAGAGGGAGGAAGGTCAAAATAGCTGATTAAATTGTTCAACCAGTTCAACTCACCTGCAAGCAATTCATACGAGGTCAGCTGGAGTCCATCAGGCCCTGCATTAAAAAGGCTGCAAGAGCACATCCAAAGTTCTGATCCTTTAATATTCACATAGCTGGGAAAACGCTGGCTAGACCATTTTGCATCCTATGTAAACAAACAGGGTTTGAAAAGGGGAACATGGGAAACTCTGCAAGACTTTCTCATAGGCTCTAATATAAATGTGCCACAGAATTGCACTGTTTATAATGGGTGTCTCCCTAATAACTACAATTTTGTCTCTCCCTTGCTGCTTGATCTCTGCCAGCTAAGAAAAGGGAACCTGTCTCATCAAGCTGTGGTTGTTCTTTGTACATGAACCACAAGGACCTTACAGGGAGGCTGCGTGTCCTTATGTTGCATGACAAATACACCGTGGTTTAAGGCTTACCAGTTAGTCTTCAAAGTGGTGTCCTACTGATCCTAGCTTGGCTCTGCTAGACTTTTTGCACAGAGTCCAGAAAAAGGAAATATTCACATGAAGCAGCTTGAATACACTGATGGATTCTACAAGCAGATTCATCTCCTGGGTCTGCAGGCAGGAAAACGTGTTCCAGCTCATGTCTCTGTAACAGCACTTATCCTCCAGCTGTCTTTTACTTCCACAAACTTTCTTCAGCCTCTCCTTTATAACTACTCCTGCCAAGCTGTGAGAGGGAGAAGCTCAGTAATTAAGAGGCAGGGCAATTTAAGGGGAAAGCACAACTTCTGCACCAATATACCAGTCATTAGCTCAAAGCTACAGCACTTCTGGTGAATGGTGGGGTCTCGTGTTGCCAGTCAGATGTCATTAACCTGCACAGAAGAGTCAGGCCTCTGCATTTCAACCATCTGTGACACAGTTTAGCAGTGAACATTTACAGGGTTCCTGTCACACTTTGAACTGTAAGCACTTCTGAAGTACCATTAAATCACAGAACTCCCAGGGGCCCATCATTAGCTCCTGAATAACCTTCTCCTGTCGAGAGGACAAAACTTCAGTGTGAGGGGGGAAAAAAAAAAGAGCAAGATTCAACCAATATTTCATCATTCACAAATAAAAGATAAAGCAGTAGTGCAAAGAACTGAAGACATACACTGCAGTTATCACATAAAATTAAAAGCTTTTTAGTGTTTAAAATAGCATTTACACATAAGCAGCTATATATTAACTATACAGACACTTGGGTTTTAATACAATATCTACAAAAAAGAATTCAATTATGCAATAGACATTTAACAGGAACAGTGCAGTCCATGCTAGTAAGAGGTCACTCTTTGAGTAGAACCAATTCTAGAATAGGTGATAGTCTGGATTTTCATTATTTAAAATCATGTAACTTTGTTCCTCTACTGTACATAAAATTCTTTACATGTATTTCTAATCACTGATTAGAATTAATAATTTTAAGTCAATCTTATTACAATCCAGTTAAATGCAAAACAAAAACAATTACATCAACTCATGAGCTGTCAAGTCTCAAGATGGGACTGCCCATTTGAATAGAACAAAAATAATATCAAAAGTCAATGTCTGTGCATCATTGCTTGCCATCCAATATACCTTTGGATAAAGTGTCCAGGGGACTGTTACCTTTGAAAAGCAGATTTATTAACAGGAGGTAAAAGACAATAGCAGTGCTTTTAAGACTATTTTGCCATAAAACTTACTCCTCAGAGTGAATATACTGGGTGGGTACACTACCCCTACAGATACTACCTCCTTTGGATAGGAGACGTCATCCCAAACTGTTTTCTCATGATTTTCTGTGACCTTCCAAACATACCTGTTTAACGTCCTTGTTAAAAGCTGTTGGCCAGGTAAGCATGAACATTAAGCTCAGCTGCAGAGCACAGGCAGATGTTGAGGGTCTCACTTGCAGAATAAGAACATCAACTATTTAAGGCTCCCGTTACGAGGTTGTTGCAATGCCCTAATAACAAACCCATAACTTCTCATTGTCGTTAGAGGCATGGGTCATGCATTCTAGAGACAGCCAGTGCCAGTTTTTCTTAACACTAAAATGAGAAAAAATTCAGGCCCCAGCGAGAGAAACACAGTTCTGAAGGACTCCAGCCTTCAAACTTTCTTCTACCTGGCACAGTACTCCTGTTGTAAGTAGCTCCATGGGCATCAGTGGCACTTCCTTCTGCAGGCTGTACTGTACCCACCAGGAGAAAGCGGCAGAGTTGGGCCCCAAGGCCTCCTTTCTTGCAAAGACACATGCACATGCATTGAAAGCCAAGGATGGGGTTTGGGAAATCTCCTGTCTTCGTTCACTTTGGAAAATTAGGAGCTAGCAAGGTTTCAGGCCTAACTTTCCATTCACTCAAACCAGCCTCTCCGCTGTACACTACAAGGCGGGGAAATCAAGCTTTTGTTTTACACACAGTGGCCATTAGGTATTGCACTGTTCACAGAAGGGTCATTTACATTCTCCTACTGCTCTCTGTAAATAGCAGGTTCTACATGCTCTACAGTATTAACCAACTAACACATCTGTCAGTACATTCAGGGCACTCATTTCTTGCCTGAAACGGCTGCCTCTTCGTGGACGAAGCTAATTCAGGCTGGATTTAGCAGCCTGATTTCCTCAGCAGGCGACTGCTTTCCCACACCTTACAGACTGTCAAGCCTCACTCCAGAGTTACCCACAAACACGCAAGTATAGAACACAGTTGTTTCAACATAGCAGCAAAGACCAGCAAGACACAGAACGGTTTCTGCCAACAGCATAACAACAAGACAAAAAAAACCCCAAAAACCCAGCAGGCATGTAAACTGCAACTCTTGAAAAGACATAAAGAAATTAAATGTATTTCTTCCACGGGTGAAAGCTCAGCCCCCAGCTTTAATCCCTTTTGGAAATATCTTATTAAAATGACAGTCTTTTCCTCCAGCGCTGTTAAGTGCTGCCTTAAGACAAAGCGGGCCAGAAAAAATGTAATATAGCAGAGAGCAGAAAAGTTAAAATTAATAGAAAAGTGGAACCACTAATGATTGTCAGGAAAGTCAGACTCCTTAACAGTGTCTCCTGGAGACATAGCAAAATTACAAAATTATTTTACCCTGATTTATTTCACTGCTTTAAATGTCAATCTTTCAAAACAGGTTACTGAGTTTTTAGTTAGCATCTTTGCCATGTTACTGGGAGGAGGAAAGGAAAAGAAAGGATACTGTCGTGCAGCCAA